TCTGCTCCTCGCCTACCTCTCCAGCCTCTGTTCACCCTACTCCTCTCTCTCTGGGTCCCAGCTACCCCTGCCATCTTTCACTTCCTGAGCACCATGGTTCTTCCCAGCTGGGCCCCTCTCCCTAAGCGCCTCATCTCTTCCTTCAAACCCCAGCTCAAGGAAGGGAAGCCTTTCCAAACCCCGCCCCCAGTCCAGCAGCCATTCCCCCGGTATTTATGGTCAGGACACCGTTCTACTTCTCTTTCATGGTGTTCACCACGCTATTCGTGAACGGGTTGTTTGCATCAGTACATGTCTCTTGTAGCTTTTCTCCACTTCAGGAGGGTGTGAGTGCCCTGTGCCAGCCTCCCTACTCTAGCCTGAGTGTATTCACTCAGTATATGATTAATAAATGAAGGCTCAAAGTACAGAAATGTAAATCATCTGATTACTATTCTCTTAGAACCTTTAGTCTAGGTGGTATGGCTCTTCAAGAGACTTATCTAGACTAAATACTGTAAGAGTCAGAGGATGGAGAAGGCACGGAAGTCTTCCTGGAGGAGGTAAGCTTTGAAGAGCCCATAGACAGAACAGGAAAAGACATGGAGCAAAGCAGAGGGAGGTGAGGCAATGTGCCATTTGGTTGAAGCTGTTTTGTTCTCTGGTGGATTCCCAGTGCACATAATGAAGACGCAACAAATACACTTTGACTTACGATGCGAATGAATGTGCTCCTTGTGTTAGGGGAGCCTGGCTTCGTGGATTTAGGCAGGGAGTTGGGAGAGATTAAGACGGGAAGGGTGGGTTCAGGTTTCAGTGGAGGATATCTAGTTTCCTTTAGTTTGGGTTTGTTGGTCTGCATAACAGAGAGCTAACCAGGACTTTCAGTTTTTCAAAAAAACTTAAAGAATTGTTTTAAGTTAAAAAAAAACCAAACAGAACAGAATTATGTGAAACAAAAAGTTGAAGCTTCTCTCTTCCCCAACCCATTTCTCCAAAGTAGCCATTGCTAACAGATGGGCATATATTCTTCCAAATATGTTCAAATTATATACAAGTATATTGGATATAGATTTATATATATAATATATATATCCAATATCCAGTTGGATATATTTATATTTTTTATATATTTATATATATATATATATATATATATATATATTAAAAATATATTTTCACAAATGGGATTCAGCCTGAGCCTACTGAGTCAAATCCTGTTTTTCATTTATCAGTGTAGGATCATTTCCATGTCTGCACATAGAGATTTTCTGTATTACTTTTAATGGTTGTGCTGTGTTTAAGGAGATGGTCTGATCAAAGAAGAAACAAGAGCGAAAGAAAGTAAACTCAAAATTCAGGGCGAAATTTAGGATGGATGAAAACATAATGGTGGAAATGAGCCATCTGTGGAAGTGATCCAAGAGGCCATTTAAAATGTGACTCGAGCATTTCAGAAACACCCCAGATTTAATCTCAGTCTCGTGGCACTGTATTATAATGATTTTTTTTCAATGTGTCTGTCTCCTCACTAGACTGCCATGTTCTTGAGGTCAGAGACTGTGCATCCATTTATGTTGTGGCAGTCTGGTGCCTGGAAGACAATTGGCACTCAATAAATGTTGAATTGAATGGCTGAACATCAGAGAGGTATACCTGAGTATGAGAGGGACTGAGAAAGTATAAACTAAATCTATTACAAGGTACTCTGTCTATAAAGAAAGCGTTACTAAAAAAGCTGAAGAATTTCAGCAGCTTTAGGAGAACCATCCCACCTCACCACTAACGTGACCTGAATTTCCAGAGCAGGTATGAGGAGTCGCGCTGCCATAAATTTGAGATTCGGTAAGAATTTTAGGAAATCAATCAACCAACAAGGGTGATATCATGATTGTTTCAGCATAAATGTTAATTAAGTTCATTTTATTTAAATTTTAAAATCCAAAATAAGTGTGTTCTTTGTGGCCAGTTTCCATCAGCACATGATTAACGAATCTGAAATGAAATCAAATTATGCACAATTCTGCAATCCTTGGTAAACAAATTTTTTCGATATCAATATTCATCTTTTATTCAAGGATGTTTTTCTTCTTCATCTAAATACTAAAATCATCATCTGTTTTCCTTCTTCTGAAACTGTGCATTTCATCTAAAAGTTGTAAATCTGAGGCAAAAGAGAAGAAAGGGCTGGCGAGGGTGCATCCAGCCAACAGAGTTCTCTACTCTGACAACAGTACGTTGAAGGTCACAGAAAAACACTGCACAACAAATTAATCACAGCCACCGGCTCACGGAGGGATAAAATGATCACAGTGAATACACCCAAC